TTAGATTACTTATATAGATAATACATTGCATCAGTTTCAAATAAACTGCTCTTGTCCTCATTTATTGACTATAAGGGTTTGAATAACAAAGCAGGAAGAAGTTTCACATTTTGATAAAAGGAAGTTATTATTTTATTGCTGAAATCCTTTGTCAGAGTTATATTTAGAATTTCATGTCTATTTTATTGGGCTATCTCACAAACTTCAGCCATTTGTATATAACCAGTTACAGATCACCCATTATCAGAAGACAAAGTGATAAGGTAGCTAACCAATACCATATACCCACATAGTTTATCTTTGTCTTTTGTTTCCTGGATGGGTAAACATCCAGTCATTCCACTTCCCACCATTTTTATTTTCCAAAATTCATGGGACTTAAGACCTTCATGAAAATTAAGATGATACTGAGATTTGAAATATGTCTATTTTACTTTCTGAAAATTTGAATAACACAATGAGTATCCTTCCTGTGAGATACAGCACAAGCATATGGACCAAGTAATATCACTGATCATAAAAAAAGCAAACCCTCATACCAAGTTAACTCTCAATTTAGCTTCACACATGCTCTCCTGAAGGCAACTAGCAAGGCCTTGGTACCTAATTGTGGAGGTTTGACCATCAGTAACCTTTGGCATGTCACCTCAGCACAACTATTCAGTCTGAAAGACATTAACATTTAATTTTCAGATATTAAAATTATGTATCACGGGCCTACAATGTTAAGAGTACTTGGTGTCATCAAACTGCAGTTCTTTCATTCAGGTGGTCAGATTTCTCTTCCATAGTTTGATGAAATGATGCAGGCCTTATACTACTTAAATATAACACTATAAGATAGGTATGCTCTGGTTTGGGGCATTTGTCCACACCACCTACATATGCTTTATCCTTTGCATGTCTTTCTTGTGGTTGCTAGCAGCCCAACTCACAATTCTGTTGATATCCTTAGAAAGAGATTTTCTCATAGCATATATAGGATGGTCTAACACATCACCTGACATTTCTTATAGCTGAGCCAATATTAATGCTTTGGTTATGCAGTTAACTACAATCTGATAAGAGATTGAAAGAACTTTTCTTTCTAGTATCTGAAACACTGAACACAAATTAATAACAGGATCATATTTTCTGTGTCCCTAAATTCATAATTCCTGACTTCCTGCCATAATTCTGTTACAAACCTATTTGTACCTGCAAATTTACCCACTTGTGGGACCAGAAATGGTACTTTTCAAACACATTGGGGTTTTTTTAATTGTGTTTTCAGTTGGGCCTCCAAGAGATTTTTCCTGTTTAGGCCTCCATAGCCATAACATTAGATATTTCTAGATACTTCCCCCCCCCCCCAATATGATAGCAATCTTCCCATCTTAATGTTCTTCATGGGCTTGGTCACCATCAGGAAAATGGAAATTTCTGCTCCCTCCTGTGGCAGTTTCCCCCTTGGTTCTCAGCACAAGTTCTGAAGATTTATAAATGTTCCATTTCTCTGAAAACTCCTTGCTGTAGTGATGGATTGTTTTGAAGGCAGTCCTTCCTCAGTTTGGCTGGGTATTGTCTCCTGCCTCTCAGATGATGACTCATGAAATCTTAACTTCTGGCATGGTGTCAGGTTTTCTCTGAAGCACCATGTTCTGGTCTTGTGGGGCCATAAACCTCAAGTACAGCAAGTGACTACAGATCGTTTCTTGGAGGCTTCTTGAAAATACACAGTTGAGTATATTTTGTAAAAACATTTTGAGGCTCAATTTAGTAGTAGTTAAGGAGCCGGACTGGAACTGAAAAACTGTGAATTCTAGGCTCCCCTTAGGCATGAAAGCTGGCTGGGTAACTTTGGGCCAGTCACACTTTCTTAATCCAATTTAACTCACAGGTTTACTATTATGGGAAAATCACAAGCAGGAGTATTATGCATGCACTCTTGAGTTGAACAAAATAAAGCAGGCTATAAATCTAATAATAAAAATAGAAATATCACAACTTAGTGTAATTAAGTAGCTGTCACATTTGTTGAATCAGAATTTAGATTGCATTGATACAAATATATTATCTTGGGGACATATTGTACCTTTATCTGGCTATTTAGTGTTTTATCTGTACAGGGAGAATGAAGTAATAGATAAGAAAGTTATCAAGGTCAACTAATGATTGCATAGACAGGCCCTTCTGCACCAAAGGGGCTTTATACAGAAGTAGTAGCTTCATGACATGGGTAATAAAAGCATCTGGCTTCTGTTTGTTTTGCAGAAGAAAATTTGAACACAAGATTTAAATAACATCTTCAATGACCATGATGTACCATCTGGCTTTCAGTGTAAATAGCTTGGTGATGACAAATAATTTCACATAATTAGAGAGTTGCTGCCAGTTCGCACTAACAGGAATATTGCAGCACTTTACACTTATTTTTTTTTTTTACTACCAGCTAGAAATCTCCAGATTGTTAATACTAGAAGAACATGCAGTGGCATATCTAATGCACACTTCTTTTTTCCTTCTTTGTGCAAGGGATTAATCACGGGGTTAATTTAACTTTATAGTTCAAATAGAACAGTCCCTAGTCACTTTTTATTTTAAAATAGCTAACAAAAAAAGATACCAAATCTTTAAATGGGATTAATTAAATCCTCTTGACTATTGAAATAATAAAGTACCTGCTTCCATGTAATCCCTAGGTTGCACATTGAAGGATTTATTGGTAATTCTCATACTATTAGGTCAGCATTCTAAACTGTTCATCCCTAATACAATATTGTTGTATTCAGCAAGTCTACTACAATAATAGATTTGGCTGCGCAAAATGTGTGCTTTGGGGCACTTAATATAAAAGAAATTCCTGCACCTTTCCTAATAACAATGAAAACACTGACAATGTCTGGAGAGACTAATATCTAGATTTCTAAAGCTACAATGTATGTTGCTTCTGTTGTGCTCTGATGCTGTCAAAATCAGCAAACAAGCATGTGTTATATTTGGGTTGAGAATTATGTTTTATTGCATACAAACAAGTAAGATTGTAAGCCACTTTAAATTCAGTTTTGAGATCAGTTGTGAATCACGGTTCATTTGGATGCAAAGCATATTTTGGATTTGTTCATCCTGGCTGTGTTTGCACCTTACACTGAATAACAAGGTGTCCAAACATAATACAATTTCAGTTTTTTGTTCTATTTGAAGCCAGAAAATTGGGTTAATTGAATAGATGATTACATTAACCATGGACATTGTATTACTATAGATTCTGCTGTGTTAATTCACTTAATTGTTCAAGCAGAAAAAGCAACTAAAAAAACAAAATAAGACTTGATTAAAAAGAAGTGGCTACATACAGCAATTCTTCTTGTGGTTTAATAAGCCAAAATTGGTGTATTGGTGCAGCATGCCAAGAAGTGCCAGGAGAAATATGACAGGATTCACTTGTGGAGTTTTTTGGGGGGCTGGGTGGGTAGGTATAAACAAGCATTATAAAACAGAATTTCATGATCTTTGTAATTTTTTTCTATTTTTCTGAACATATCCATTGAACTAGGTTATTGCAAAGAGACATTCCAAATGGGTAGAAATTCCCCAGGGAGTGTTTCTTTTTTTCCAGGCTGCACGATTGTTCTCCTGAGATGGTCTTATGATGAGTTTGTCCTCTGAAAGCAGATGCCACTATTTTCCCACACTGACCACAGGTTACATGCTTGTGGATAATACTGTAGCTATAATTAATTATCTAAAGCCTACCATGGCCTCAAGGCTGAACTTTATTATTGTAAAAAACCTAAAAATGAATTCGGAAGGGAGGGCTTTTTTCTGGTTTTTCTTTTTGCAGTTATTACATGATTTCAATTCCCCCAAGGCTGTGGCTTGACCGTAATTATTCCAACCTTCAGCAGAGAGGTAACCAGCAAGACTCAGCAATGATCATGTACATTGTCTATCACCTAATTCCACTTAATTAGTAAGTTGGGCACCCATATTGCAAGGAAAAATATTGAAGTTGTAAGAAACCAATTGAATATTTCAGGGGTAGGTCATTTTTGAGAGATCAAGCAATGATATTACAATGCTTAGCTACAAAAAATGCCAAGTTCTGCTCTTTGTTATGTGCTATTGAATATAGAAATTTTAGTACTAGGTTCAGTTTCAAGAAAAAACTTAAAAATTCTGCTAATAACAGATTACTATTATTTTTTTCTTTTTAAACTTTGTAAGATTTATAGTTAGAAAAACAAGATGTAGCACATTAGGTCATCTCACAAAAGAAATCCCAATGAAGAAAATCACATTAGTCTTCTGCTTTTCAAATATAATATAAATTCTCTGCTTCTTCATTTCAGCAGTTCTGCTCACCAATATACAAGATTCACTGCAACCAAAGATCCAGTAATATTGCCCTTGGTGCCATTAGATATAAGAAAGAACTTTGCTTCAAATTGTTGTTAGGTCATACAGTAGCATGGATGCATTGGAAAATACAGTTCAAATTGATAAGCACATTTAAGAATGAGCCAGCAATGATCTGCAGTCAAAAAAGCCAAAACTGTTTTGGATTGCTTCATTAGAGCTGTTAACGATGCAGTGGTTGAAATGCAGTATTGCAGCCTAATTCTGCTGTCTGCTGGCAGTTCGAGTCTTACCAGCTCAAGCCTTCCATTCTTTTGAGATCAGTAAAATGAGGACCCAGATTGTTAAGGGCAATGTGCTGATTTTGTAAACTGCTATGAGAGGGTTGTAAAGTACTGTGAAGTGGTATATAAGTCTAAGTGCTGTTGCTATTGCTATTCATTAGTGGTATAATTCACACCACATCTGGAACACTGTGCCCAATTCTACCACAATTCAAAAAAGCTTCTGAGAAAATGAAAAGAACCCAGAGAAGAGCAGAAAAGATGGTCAGGAGCTTGGAGATGATCCCATGAAGAGTAATTAAAGGTACTTGGCCTTTTTAGCTTAAAGAAGAAACAGCTAAAAGGAGACACAATAGCAGTGTTCCAATATATAAAGTAATGTCACAGGAAGAAGTAGATTTATTATCTCTAGCACCTGAGAATGAGGCAAGACTCAATGAGCGGGAACATTTACAGTAAGAAATCCAAATTGGAACTAAAGAAGAATTTCCTGACAGCTATTAAGCAAGAGCCTGCCTCATGACTGGACATTTTCAAGAAAAGACTGGACAACTATTTGTCCAGGATGATATAAGGATTCCTGTGCTGGGGAGGGAGGCTGGACTAGAACATCTCTTTAGCCCCTTCCAACTCTAGGATTTTATGAATTTTGATGAAATTTAAATGTATTTCAATTTTGCTTGCTTCATTTTAAACATGACACCCAGCAGTCAGTAGACATCAAAATTAGAGGTGACTCCAGCTTATCATATTGACTAAAATTATACTTGGGTCAGGTTAGTTCGGTCTCTTTAATACTGACATGGTTAATTCCAGCTGGGAAAAAATACTTGACATGACATGCAGCTAACTCCAGCAAGGTAATATGGTTTCCGGGACATAAGAAAATCCATCCTGAGTTTAGATGATGGTGCTAAACATGGAAAACCAAAATAAACAGGCTTCTCTGCTAAGAGACATATTGTCAGTTGCCTTTTGAAAATGGAAATCAGCTGAATGCTGAAATCATATCCAGTTCCTAAATTAACCTTGGCCCATTTTAATGTTCTTCCTACTTCAGTAACTGAAGAGAGATTCAGGAGAAGTCTGCAAGTGGAAAAATATGCTTTTTACGTTGCTGTTACATTGTATGAATTCATCATGTCTTCCTTTACTGTCAATTCTATACAGGCATTCATCTCTGCCCTACATCCTTGATGTTAACAAAATACCCAGAGGGTTGAGATCTTTTTTATTTAAAATACTCTCAGATGACAACTCTCTCTTTCTCTCTTCAAATGATAACAACCTAATATCTATCTAGGTATGTAAGTGCTTATGCTTCACAGTACATTAATACATTTCATATTTATTACTTTACTACTTTTTCCTTTTTCTGTTTTTTGGGTTTTTTACAATAAAGTTATTTTTTTACAATAAAGGTCATAATAAAGTTATTTCATTTGAGCCATTCTCCATGCAAGCAATATAGACATGAGAATTGCTTTCTCCACTTTTGATCCTTAACTTGCATCTTTTTGTCTCTGTTCTCAGTCATAGTTACATGATGCTCTCGATTAATGACTAATCATTAAGTGACTGTTGGAAGTTACAACATCACTGAACAAGTGGTATATATGATCAGTCCATGAGGTTCTGGCTGTCACATGATCATGATTTGTGCACTTGGCAACTTAAAACAATTGTAGTGCCCCATGGCCATATAACTGCCATTTGCAACCTTCACTGCCACTCTCTTGCAAGCAGAGTGAAGGGGAAAAGTCAACAGAGAAGGTCACAAATTCCTCCTATAAGTCACTCCCACTCTTGTCAGATTTTTTTTCTCCAAAGAGCTCCAGGTATTTCATTCTTGCATCATGCATCTACCCATAGCATCATCTGCTTGCATTTTACAGTGCCCTAGTTGTGCTTGTGCTGAGCTGTAGCATAGCCTTTCCCATTCATATTTATGCCAGGCCACTCGCATGCATGTTCACGTGCATTCTATGCAGTTTCCTCCCACCATACAATTCTTTCTATTCTGACATCATAAACTATAAGCCAGCAACAACAACAACTCCCCATACCTCCACAATTACTTACAAGCAAGAACTTGCAACTTCTTCAGCAGATCATTACTCCCAATGAGACGTTTTCTGCAGGAGAGCCTTCTAAGTTTTCTGATGTTGAATTTCCACCATTTTCCTTTCAATTCCTGGATTGATTACTGGACCTGGATCTTTAAAAAATAATAGATTTACCAGATTCCTACTGGAGCTTTCTGAAACCAGCTGCTCATTTGGACATGAGGGGTCCTTGGTGCTTTCTGAGCTTGGTTGTTTTCTTGCAGATGTTTTATTATTCAAACTATGTAGGTAACATCAGTGCTAGTAAGGAGTGGAGTTTTTCAAGAATACAACCAACTCAGAAAGCACCAAGGACCCTTCATTTCAACTCTGAGCTACAAATATTATCTGTTATAGACTGAAGCATCCCCCACCTGAGACTCTTTTCCAATGGATGTATGCAACATAGCGATTTCTGGACCGAGAAGGTACTTACTATTGTGATTGGAATCAGAAATTATAGTATGCACACATACCACCCTACTATTAAGTGGGCTGGATCTACCTTAATCACTAGGCATATTACAAAATTTCAAAGTAACAGGTAATTTTGATCAAGAATTTAGTGAAGTGCTCTTTGATGAAGTTCCAAGAAGCCACATCAGAATTAACCTGTTGCATCAAACTGGTTGCTTCATAACAGCCTTTGATATACCCTTGCAGATATGCAGAAGGCATTTCCAGCAAAATAAAGTAATCAGAATAAATGAAGCAACCCATCACAATGATTTAAAATGGAGGTAATGTAGATAGACTTGTTTTTCTACATTGAGGCCCTGCCTCAAAACACTAAAGCAATACCGCTTAACTCAAACCCATTAACCACTTGATATGTAAAGCTGTTCCCCCCCCCCAATTTCAGTTCCCAGACTGTAGAATATGCTGGTTTTTGGAGAAACTCTTATGTAATTGCTTATCTTTTGTTATACTAAGGCATAAATTAAAAGTTCAGATCTTCTATGATACCAGGCTAGATCTAATCAAATTTAGATAATTTGGTGATTTTGTAGCTCTTGTGTGGTATGCTTATGTATGTGTTATCCTTCATTAGGAGAATTTACCTTCTTCAAAAGCAGGAAAATTATCACAAATGTACATTTTTATTCTCTGGAAGAAAGGTTGAAAAAATATTTCTAAAATGCAGATAACCTATTATCTAATCTCCCGCCTCCCCCAATGCTCTTAGAAGAAGGACTGTTTTTGTTCACTCGCATTGCACATGGAATACCAAGCATTTTACCTCCCTAACCACAAATATTGTTTTCCACTCAGGATTATTCTGATGAGTTCATTGAAAGGCATTTTCAAGGTAGAACACGCTATGTCCCTAATGAAACAAATAACAAAGAAACAGAAAACTATAATGATGGAATGACATTGAATTGACAAAAATATTTTTGATGATCTAAACATTAAAATCCCATCACATTTGATAGAGATGATAAAAAGATATCAAGTCAGCTCATAATCTACATGGGAGGAAGGTCTGTTGTACTCTTTCCTCCAAAAAAATAAGTCGCCTGGGCATTTGTCATTAATTTTCTATTGTTATTAATTGTTAATTAATAAAGATATCCAGAAACATATACCATAACTCTGTTTCTTTGTATAGGAATTCAGGAAGTGATTGTGTATGCTTTCTTTCTCACTGTTCACAAACCTGTGGCCTGTCTACTTATCTTATTCAATTATTGCTGGAATTCTCAGCATTCTGGAAATTTAGGGAGATGAGATATTAAGAAAAGGTTGGGGGAGAGGGGTTGGATAGAGATGAAGAAAGAGAGTGCCAACATCAAGCTTGGTCTAGTGTCAAAGAATTGGACTAGCAGTAGAGAATTTGAGTTCTAGTCTGCCTTAAGTATGAAAGAAAACTAGATGACCTGAGGACCAATATTTTCTTTTCAGTCATAGGAAAACAGAAGTGGCATACTACATCCAAAAATGCTGCCTGAAGAACTTCATGGACTTGTCATATAAGCACCAAGTAAAAAGTCTCAAAGAATACCAGGAATCACATACTAAAAAGTAGGCAGATAGTTAAGATATAAGGCTTGGTTGAGCTTAATGTGCATAAAACACTGCATCATGGGAGTGAGCTTGATGGAGCCCAACTACCAGCCACTCAACTCATACGTCACCGACATAACAACAGTATTTACAGTTTACTTATGAAGAATAGCTATCTGTAATCACATCAGAGGTGGTATTCAGCAGTTCTGACCAGTTATGGACAACTAGCAGTGGAAATTTTGAGTAGTTCGGAGAGCCAGTAAATACCACCTCTGACTGGCCCTTCTCCCATCTATTCTCTTTCTCCCGAGTCCCAGCTGATCGGGAGGGAATGGGGATCCCTAAGTGGGCTGAAATGTAGATTTTACAGTATCCTTCCCTTGCCATGCCCACCAAGCCACACCCACAGAACTGGTAGTAAAAAAAATTGAATCCCACCACTGAATCACGTGGATGATCTCAACATCTCTCTTCTAGGGAGATTTAGCTGGCCTAGATCCAGATGCTATTTCCTCAGAAATGCAATCTTGCACTTCAGCAGGATGTCAGTTTCACCATTGGAAATCTGTTTCTGCCAATATGCCCAGCATTCAATTGAGAATGACTTTTATATTTATTTATTTATCTGTATAACCAGTTTGATTTTATCATTGTGTCTGGGGATCTTTTCCGTGTAATGTCATGCTTCAGTCTTTATTTGGTTTCCTTGAATGATACTAATTTAAAAAATAATGTTATTTGCTTTTGGACCTTTAAAAAAAAAAAGTAGTCCTCAATTAGGTTTGTCAGATAATGAGGTAACATGGTGTCATGTGATCACCCTTTGTAACCTTCTGGCAAGTAAAGTCAATGAGGAATCCAGATTGACTTAACAACCATGTTACTAACTTAACAACTACAGTGATTCAGTTAACAACTGTGGCAAGCAAGCTTGTAAAATGCGGCAAAATTCACTTAACAAATGTTTCACTTAGCAACAAACATTTGGGACTCAGTTGTGGTCATACATTGAGGACTACTTGAACAGTACTTAAACCACTATCCTATTCATGAATGGCAAGGAGTTGGTAGCAAATTTCTTTCCTGACCTTAAAATAAAACATTTTTTTTTTAAAAGATCATCACTAGAAGACTTTTGAAGGAAAGTTAAAAGAGAATGCAAGCTTTTAAATGAAGAGTTTCTGGTCCTATTATCTTCTTTTTTAACCAAAAAACCCAAAACCTTAAAGCTTTGTGAAATGGATTTCAGCACTCATTATAAGTAACACATGCAAACATACACAAACAAATTCTGTCATAGTCTGGGCTATATATTAACTCATCCTTTTAAACATTTCAGT